AAAAAAAGATGGTTCCCTAAACCACCTTTTCCTTTCACCATAGCGATAGGGCCCCACTGCAAATCAAACTGGCTCTAGTCATACACATCAGCACTCCTGCCTTTTATTTCTAGTTTTGCTTGTGGTTTGCAAAACCACAGTGTTACACAAAAGAACTCACACCTGAACACTATGGCTTTGACAGAGGTGGAACAGACTGTGAGTGGGAGCAAGAGTCAGTGGTTATTTAACTAAAGCATCATCCAAGCTCAGGTCACACAGAAATAATGACCACAGGGATTATTTAACCAGAGGTGTTGAGAACGCAGATAAACTGGAAACCATGTTTGCTGCAGGTGGGAACAGAGAGGTGTTTGGCGTGGGGGGAGCAATTTGCCTGTGTACTATAGTACAATCAGGATGCATTTAATGCTAGTTTAAGCCTAGCAGCTACAGTAGTAAAAAAGAAAAAAGTTACATATTAACCCAAGTGCCTGCTTGCTAACCCTCTGCTCTTAGGGGTGCATTATGTTTCTAGATTTTGGGTACAATACGGGGCTTAACAGGAAATCACTGCAGTCCTTGGGTGTCCATTCTAACAGTTTACCCTTTTCTGTCAAACTTTTGCTTACTTTATGATCTAAGTCTTGTTTGTAGCAAAAAACGATTAGAAATAGCTCACTCCCAAATGTACAGATATGGTTGCATGATGAATTCATTACGATAAAGAGGGGAAAAGACCCATTATCATAAACACAAAGAAGGAAGAGAAAAGATCGTATCAGCAAACTGGGCTGAGGAAGTACATTCAATTGAGGACAGCATGCAGTTCTGAGCGCCCTGGTAACCAAGGCAAAAGAGAACACACGGAATAGATAGATGGTCTTACTGAACAACTTAAAGTACTCAAGCTAGTTTTAGGAGAGACATTTTCCCCTGGCCTTGAGCTATGAAGGGAATTTGTTACATTAAAAAAACAGAACTGGGGCAGAGCCTGTGGCTCAGTGAGTGGGGAGCCCGCCCCATATACAGAGGGCAGCGGGTTCAGACCCAGCCCAAATTGCATTAACAACAACAACAACAAAAAATCGGAAGTGATACAGAAAGATTTAGTTCAAACTGTCCTTGAGAAAAATCTGACAAAGAACATCAGAGATGTTCTAACCATGTTTGTTTCTTTATACTAACGACTAACTAAAAACAAAAAGAAAAGCAACCTTCCCCCCCCTCCCCACCCCAGGGCATGCTGTTGTTCTGAGACCACCTTAGGAAGCAAATGCCTCCTTCTCAAGGATCTGAAATTACTTGATGGTAAAACTCAGATAATCTAGAGAAATCATAGTTCACTTGATCCAAGAGGGAATGTTTGCTTTTTAAAATGCAGCCCTTATTGCCTGGGCACTGGCTAGAGTCTATATTTCTAGAACGTGGAATGATTTAAACTGGGCTTGGCTTATGAACTAGAGAGGAGACTGTTCAGGAGGCTGGTAAGTACTTGGGGAAAGTACAAGGTCTTTTCTGTAGACAAAAAGAAGTACGACCTCTAGACCCCAAGCACACAGGTTGTCTTCTGTGTAGGGCGGTCTGATTTATGTTCTTATCCTGGCAGAGAGCACCCTTGGGAGCTGGCAGTGGGCACTGCCTCTTGATTACTCTCAAATGGCCTTGGAGCAAATTCCTCAATAGCCAAAAAGCAGACAGACAGAAAGAAAGGACGAAAGAGAGAAAAAAATGTTTCTTACTCTCGATGTGGGCTGCGGTTCTGAGAAACTTCGGAGTCGCTGTCTCTGGGGGACAGAGAACCCTTGTATGTGTAAAATACATCTTCTGTTTCTGTGATGTAGGTCATTTCATTTGCAAGATTATCTGCAGAAGAGTGTCGTGGTTTTCGGATTTCGTGCCGGAGCCGGGGACTTCGCCTGGGTGGGGGAAATGTTGAGTGTTAAGTGTTCAAAGTAAATTCCACTTAAAAATTTTATCAGACATCAGTGATCTAACTTTCTGTCCTGACCTTTCTAAGGATGCCTTCCCTGGCTGAGGCTGTTGGACATTCAGAGTCAGTTAACTCTTCACTAACCTGGCAGAATTTACCAGGGGTGACACGGCCAACTGGTGTGGCCTCCAGAATAGCAGCTGCCTGGGCTTTATGAACAAGCAGGACTAGGTTGGTTTGTGCCCTTTGGGGAGTCAACAAGTATTGATTTAAGGCAGGTATTCTTCTAGGAGGACTCCAGCTCTAAGGCCATATTGACTGCTGATCTATTGTTCTGATTAATTCAAACAATGTCAATAAAAGGTGTATAAGCCAAAATACATTTCTTAGCAAAACCTGAATATTATTTCAGCTATATTCCTTCAAGTGAATTTCACTTGATTCAAGTGGGAATGTTTGCTTCTTGAAATACAGCCCTTACTGGCTGGGCACAGTGCTTTATGCCTGTAATCCCAACACTCTGAGAGACTGAGGTGGGAATATAGCTTGAGCTCAGGCATTTGAGACAGCCTGAGCAAGAGTGAGACCCCGTCTCTACTAAAAATAGAAAAATTATCCAGGCATGGTGGCTGTGCCTATAGTCCCAGCAGCTCAGAAGTGAGGCAGGATGATCACTTGAACCCAGGAGTCTGAGGTTGTCACAACTGAAGCTGATGCTATGGCACCGTAGCCTGGGCAGCAGAATAAGACTCTCTAAATAAATAAACAAACAAATAAAATACAGTCCTTATTAAACACGTGGCATTATACAGGCATATAAGCTGCCCCGTCCTCCAACAGCAGCAGTAGCCAGGTAAGCTCAGGTGAGTCACATCACCTCTCCCGGCCTCGGCTGTACTCACCTGCTCCTGAGAATGAGTCACACGAAGCAATGTTCTCAGGACATCCAGTGCAGCCCCTGGGCGTCAGCTCCTGCTGCAGGGAGGTCCCCAGTCTGCTTGAGCTTTCTAAATTCTGCCCTCCCTCACCTTTTCCCCATCTTCCCTGTCTTTGTTAGCCATTTCTTCTTGGAACTGTCAGGGCCTCCATGATTTGCAAGCCCCCTGGGCCCAGATAATCAATACTGCTGTGTCTAAAGCAGAAGTAAAAGGGCTCTTGTGACTCCTCAGGAGAGGACTATAAATAGCTGCAGGAGCTCGAGGCCACGAGGGTGGCAACGTCCAACTGCTGTGCCCCTGGATCCTGTCCTGGTCCTCTCTCCCAGCCCCTGGCATTGCTGCTTATGAGACTTTCAGATAAATTATGCTGCTGCTTTATAGTATACCTTTACCCCTGTAGAGTGACATGTCTAGATCTTGGAAACTAAAAGGCAAATCTATGCAGTCATGTCATGATGTCCAACACAATGTACTATCATCCTCCCTGCCACAGTATTAGGCCCCAGCAGAGGGTCCCTCCCTAGCAGGCCCTGCACGGCATCTCCTGTGTCTGCCAGTCTCCCAGTTTCCCCAAGGCCTTGCTGATCCTGGGTTTGCTCTGGCTTTAAGGCCACCTCCTAGTCCAGTGTAGAGCCAGGGGCAACTTGCTTGGTTCCCCTTCTACTGATGGCTCGGCCTTTTTGGAGGTATTCACAAAAACGGCATGATGTCTTTGGGAACCATTATAATAAAATAACAATAATCATTACACCTGACTTTAAAAAAAATAAACTTATGAAGCACTTGTACATTATTATTTCATTTGTGGTTGTTTTTATACTCCTTTTACAGATGGGGAAACTGAGACCAGAGAGGTAAAGAAACTTATTAACAGAAGAGCCACAATCTGAGCTTGGGCCTTTCAGCTACAAACTAGGGCCCTTTCCACTGGGCCACACTGCCATGTCCTTCCTTTTAAAAGTTGGCAGGCTACTTCCTGACACGCATTTGCTGCTGTTGCTGGGGATGTCACACATCCTGACGTCACTCATATCATGAAGCTTTATTGCCTTTTCCTAAAGTAAACCTTCTGGGATATTAATGGGAAATGAAATTAAATAAAGCTAAACATACTTCTTTATCAGAGGACCCCTCAGGGTATCTAATATGTACTGTGATTCTAAAGGGGCGTTTCAGCTGCTGACAGTTTCCTGATTTATTTAGCTCAAGTTAGTTTTCAGAGAAGAGCAACTCGGCCTATACTATAGGGAATACTAGCTAGACTCAGGTACTTCATGAAAACAGCGACTTCTGCCAAAAACCCAAAATGCAAATGCCAACTCTGATCGTAGGCCATCCCTATTCAGGAGTTAATAAATTAAGATTTTACTTTTACAAGAGATAAAGTGTTTACTGGGGGGTAGTACAAAAGGAGGCGGACGTACCAGGTGGGAGTAATGGGAGGGGACCTCGAAGGCAGACTCTTGGTTTCTAAGTGCTCCACGGACAGGGATCTCCGCAGGGCTGGGTTCCACACCATCCCTCCAATCACCTTTTTGCAATACTGGTTATTTACAGACCTGAAAAACCAGATGTAGGTTCACTTTCTACTCTGACATGTTCAACTAGAAAGAAATTACAGCATGTGTGAAGCAGTCTACACATGCCCCTCCCTCACAGGTGGCTGGGTAACGCCTCGATGCCACCAGCCAGGTCGCAAGGAACGGCGGAGGGTGACTGCCCCCAAACAATTCCTTTCTGTCCTGGATTTTCCTTAGGTGACTTATTTGCTTTTGGTGAAAATGCTTTATCATTCTTACTATTCAGGAAATAAAGCTGCTTCGAGAATATAACCAAACCTTACCAGATTAGAAGGAATTCTAGAAATACGGCTCAGGTAACTTCACAGAATTTTTACTTTACTAAACTGGCATGAATAAAAATATTAATTATCCTTCCAGATGCTCTTTGCCATCCAACTGGCAGAAGCCATCAACGGAAATGACCTCTAACTCTTGGAGAGAGAAGCTGAGGATATGCTCAGCAAGTACGGTTGTGGGCCATGGTTTCTGAGTGTGCCGCCTTGAAAGTCACTTTTAAACTTCATTGCTACCTAGAGGATTTCAATCTCTAGACTCCTTAGTGAATTATTTGAGAGAATAGAGCATGAAGTCTGTTAACGGGTAAAACTTTCAGTTCTGGCATCTCTACATTTTAAACTGTTAGGTTTTAATGTCTCATGAAAACATTCAATTTATTTCTTTGTGGCCTAAATACCAACCGACCAACAAAACCCAAACAGAAGAAAGAACATGAAACCCCCCTAGAATACCACATACTGATTTATATTAAGAAATGATGTTGTCACCCTGATCAAAACACGCATAGTACGGCCACTGGGAGAATCTTTCCTGAGGCAGGACTCCATCAGAAACCACACTACCCGTGATTAAGAGCACAGGATCAAAACAAGGGGAGCAATTCCCCAAAGCACGTGTCATAGGTTATTAATAGGGACCCTTGGAAAAAAGTGTTCCATTGTTGCACAAGCTTGAAAAATACTGAACAAGTTTCTTTTCTGTGGAAACTTTTAGAGGGCCCAATATACAAATATGCAGATGTAGCTCGAGGGGTTGAGCAAATCATGTTAAGTCCTCTAAGCCTCAGTTTCCTCATCTGTAAAATGGAGGTAATGAGAGCTGAAACTCACCAGTAGCTGAAGCTGGTATAGGCAGTAAAGAGCTACTGACTTAACCTCTGACCCCAGCTACTGCCCATATCTCAAGTGCCCCTCTATGGTGGATTAAAGATGGCTGCAAGTTTTCTGACGTCTGCATCTGGGCTGGCCTGTGACTGCTTTGATCAAGAGTCATTGTGCCAGTTCTGGGCCTCACTCTTAAGAGGACCAGCTGGTTCTGCCTTTTGCTCATGGAGACTGGACCCTCCCCATGTAAGAAATTCAGCTATCCTGGCTGGACAGTCTATATGGAGAGGCCAAGGAGTCCAGCCTTCCAACCATTCCATCAAGATGCCAGGTGTGCAAGAGAAGTTGTCTCAGACATTCTAGGCCAGTCCAGCCAGCAACCACATATCACCAAGAAATCCCAAGCCGTACAACATGGAGCAGAAGAATCATCTGGCCAAGCCCTTCCCAAACTCCTGAGATAGAAAAGAATGGGTGTTGCCTTCATCCACCAAAATGGGGGACTTCATTATGATACAATAGATGATCAACACCCCGACCCCAGACAGTGGCTGCCAATGAGGATGATGAAGCAGTAAAAATTAAAGCTCAAGTAACAGAGGCAAGGTTTAAACCCAGGCTCCCTGCTTTCAAACACAATGCAGGTTTTCAATTGCCTTACTATACTAACCTTTTACCTGGCCTGAGGATTAGGTCCAACCTAAGTCAGTACTACGTTCTAATAATTTTGGGGTTTTTTTTTTTGAGATGAGAGTCTTACTTTGTCACCCTGAGTAGAATGCCATGGCGTCATAGCTCACAGCAACCTCAAACTCTTGGGCTCAAGTGATTATCTTGCCTCAACCTCCTGAGTAGCTGGGACTATAGGCACCCATTACAACACTCAGCTATTTTTAGAGAGAGGGTCTCGTTCTTGCTCAGGCTGGTCTTGAACTCCTGAGCTCAAGCAATCCACCTGTGTCGGCCTCCCAGAGTGTTAGGATTACAGGCGAGAGCCACCATGTCCGGCCTCCAATAAATGCTTTTCATGACTTATTCAATAGTAAGGCTATTGAATGTATAGAAACACTAGACGGTATTAAGAGCTAAAAACTTCAGAAATGTATTTGCTCTTGGTTCATCAGTGCTAAGGTGAAAACGCTTAGCACCATAAATAGTATCAGTGACACTAACAGAATTTTGTCACTTATTGACTATGTATGTTCCTTAACGTTTATCACTGTAGCAGAAAAGTCATTTGAACACTCTGATGAGGTTCCACATACCAGATAATGGCTCAGACATGGGCCTCATTTAGTTAACAACAGCTACATCTTTAGTAACAACAAACCACAAAAACAATTTTTTATTTTTTTTTTTGAGACAGAGTTTTACTATGTTGCCCTGGGTAGAGTGCCCTGACGTCACAGCTCACAGCAAGCTCAAACTCCTGGGCTTAAGCAAGTCTCTTGCCTCAGCCTCCCAAGTAGCTGGGACTACAGGCCCCCGCCATAATGCCCGGCTATTTTTTGTTGCAGTTGTCATTGTTGTTTTAGGGGCCCGGGCTGGGATTGAACCTGCCGACCTCAATGTTTGTGGCTGGCGCTGTAACTACTGTGCTACAGGAGCCGAGTCCATAAAAACAATTTTGAAAAACCAAGAAATAAATGAGAAATTATAAGAATGATTTGATAAACGATTTCTGCTATCTCTTATAAGGCAGTCTTAGAACAAAGAAAAATATTATAAGCTGCATGGTTATTTTAGAGAATAAATAAATTTTGTTCTAAGTTAAAATTTAAAAAATTATATATGAATAACAGGTTTAAATAATTCACACGCATAGAAATTACAGGCTGGCTTAGTGGCATCAGGCTGGAAAGCCCAACATGCCAGCACCGGGAGACACTCAAGAGTCACTGGCAGGTGTACTTTTTGTGTCACAGTTCAAGAGACAGTTGTAATTCTGGCTTCTTGAGAGATCTGAGGACAGCAGAGCTGAGGGTGCAGAAATAAATGCTGGGAAGATGAGCCGGCTGGAAAGAGGCACTGCTGTCCTGCGGGAGACTTTTAGCCACAGTTCAGCCACAGTTCAGCACCTGGGACTCCCGGGCTACCGTGTTCCCTCCTCTGCCCAAGCATGTCCACTGCCCAGCAGCAACTAGAACCTGCTCACGACTCAGTCTAGTGTCGATACTGTCCCCAAATCATACTCACTTTTTGGTGTTCCTAGAGCCCATAGTCCAGTACTGAGACAGAACATTCTTATCCCGAGGTAGCAGCTTCTTTGCTAGTGTCAATACCGTCCCCAAATCCTACTTACTTTTTGGTGTTCCTAGAGCCCATAGTCCAGTACTGAGACAGAACATTCTTTTCCTGAGGTAGTAGCTTCTTTGCTTGAAAGAATGTATGATGCTCGACACAGGATTTCCATAAGTTTTTGCAAGACCGGTAATTTAGCATGTTGAAGGCCACGATATGTTCCCTGGATTCAGACTGGGAGGAAAAACAGAAGAGACTTCATCTGCACAGATGCTGGAGCAAGGTCTTACAAGCATCTTAGCCACATGTGTGGCCACCAGGTAAGATGCCACAGACAAAGAAAACTGGCTTCAAAATGTTTGTCTACCAGTGTTACAAGAATATTGAAGAGCAGAATTTTTGTGAAGCACCTTTATGGATATGGTAATGAAGCTGGCCAGAATTGACTCTCCACCATCATCTGTGGTCTTTCACGAACACTTTTATTTCAACTCTGCTTACATTTCTAGGTCGGATATATTTGGTACAACCAACCACACACGGACTGTCTGATGTGTTCCTTTTAAAATTCAGCCCTGGGAACATTCTTCTCCCGAACATCCTTTCATCTATCAGATAACAGCAATTTTATAACCCTTTGGATTGTTCTCTCTTTGCTCTCCACAAAGCACAGAGTTAAATCCAGAGCTCAGATAATCATTTTAATCGTTTGCTATACCTTCATTCTATGTGAGTTTAGAATTTCTATTTTCATATCATCTTAGGAATGTTGGTGCCACCTTGAATCCTGCACTGTGAAGGGGCAGGGGGTCAGGAGACCCAGATTCCAGTCCTAACCTGTTCTAAGCTTTCGTGTTTTCATTTTTCACAGTCTATTGCTATGCGGGGCCATGTAAAATATGTATCATCTTTGAAGAACTGGGAAATGAACACAGTGAAAATCACTGGCATAAAAACAGCGTCATGCAAAGGCGTCTCAGATTCGTAATAACCTAGTTCAAATTCCAACTCCCACCTCCCTAGCTGTGGGAGCCTCAGTTTCCTCACCTTTAAGTCCTACTTCTCTATGTGGATAAGCAAATAGTTGTCTCCAGTGCTGTGGACTCCTCTTAAGAGACACATATACAGAATCGCTGTACATTTTTATACATCAAGGGAGGGAACTGATCTTCTGGACACTCACTGGTACTCTGCGGTGAGTTCTCCACCAGGTGTTTTGACCAATGCTCTCCTATTTAATCCTCACAATTCCCTAAGAAGTGCGCATTACTGCATTTCTGGAAATAAGGTACCTCGGGCTAGGGCAAGTTAAGTAACCTGACTAACTGGTAAATGGAAAAGCCAAAATCTGAACCCACTGTCTCTGATTCTAAAGCAAGTTAATTCTCCAACCAGGCAGAGTGAATTATATAGAGAACCAATGGATCCTTCGGACTTTGGCTCCAGTATGCCATGGTCTTTCTTCCCTATTACAGATGGCAAATTTTCTTCAACCCATAAAGAGTCAAGAGTAACTTAGAAACACAGTAAGGCAGATGCAATGGCATGCACCCGTAGTCCCAGCTACTCAGGGGGCTGAGGCAGGACAATCTCTGGAGCCCAAGAGAGCCCAGTCTGGCCAACACAGTGAGACCCTATATTAAAAAAAAAAAAAAAGAAAGAAAATGAAAAAGAAAAAAACCCCACAAAACAAAGCAGGCATAGACACGACTTACCTGTTTTTGTCGCTGATGTATAAAGAACTTTTTCCTTTTGAAAGAAATTTTGAGAATGTTCACCCTGCAAAAAAATAAAACCAAACACTAACAATGCAGATCAGGGATCGGCCAGGTGACAGCTAAAGCTTCTCAACGTGTGTCCTCTAGTCCACGACCCTCCGGACGGGGGTTCTTGGCTACCTAGAGTTTACTTCTCTGGGGAAATGTTGGCAGCCCCATCGCTGCGGCCAAACACCAAGCAGCTTACTAAAGCCGAGCGTCAGTCACATAAGGGCTTGGGTTATGATGGAGCTTTTAAATAACAAGGAACACGGGCCACGCTCTCTTTGCTCCAAGCTGCTTTTGTGGCACTGAAGCTCTGCATGAGCTGATGTACACGGGGGAGACAGCTGGGAGCAGTGCAGAGCAGCAGAAAGAGGACAGCCCTGGTCACATCCCAGCTCCATTACTTAATAGCCACGTGTCATGTAGCCTACTTATCATCTATGTTACAGAATTTACAGCTGCCATTAGCTGAGCAGGTTTTATACACTGGGCCACTGTAAGAAATTTACAAACACCCCCACAATTAAGCCTTGCAATAATCCCGTGTATCCAAAGCACACACAGTTACACCCAATTTTCAGATGAGGAAACTAGAGACATCTCCCTAAATGCTTGAGATCATTCAAGGGGCAATGCCTGGACCCCAGGATCTGAGCCAGGTTTCCCCCGACTCCAAGGACTGTGCTTCTCAGCTCTACACTGCAAAGTCGTCTGGACAGTGGCAGTGACACTGCCTTTCTCACAGAGCTGCCTTGAGAGGCTTCCAGTGGATTAGGAGTGTCGAGTCCTTAGCATGATGCTGGACACATGGTAGGGGTTCCTTCAGTTAAAATTGATTAACGAGTTAACTTTTTCTTTTTTTTTTTTGGTCACCCTAGGTAGAGTGCTATGACATCACAGCTCACAGCAACCTCCAACTCTTGGGCTTAAGCAATTCTCTTGCCTCAGCTTCCCGAGTAGCTGGGACTACAGGCGCCCACCACAATGCCCGGTTTTTTTTTGTTGCAGTTGCCACTGCTGTTTTAGCTGATGGGGCTGGGTTCGAATCTGCCACCCTTGGCAGGCGTCCTACCCACTGAGCCACAGGTGCTGCCCGAAAAAGTTAATTTTTAAGATCAATTTATGGTTGACCCTTGAACAGCATGGGTTTAAACTGTGTGAGACCATATATATGGGGAAGTTTTCAACCACTGATGTGTCTGTGGGATGCAAAATCTGCATCTACGGAAGGTCAGCTTTTTGTATCTGTGGTTCTGCAGGGCCTACTCCAGGACTAGAGTCTGTGTGGGTTTTGGTATACAGGGGTCCTGGAAACAAACCTTCATGTATGCTGATGGACAACTATAATTAATTGATGCCAAAGTTCTGTAACCCACATCAGTGAGGCATGTTTCCCCACTGAAGCTTCTACTTCTAAAATACTTTGAAGAAATGAAGGAATTCTACTATTCTTTAGAATCACATGAGGACCTTGGTAGAACACTCTGGAGCAGAGAAGCTGGGAAGGGAAAGTAAAGGTTTAGCTACTTGTGACTTGCCCCCAGCTGGACCAGCAATAAACCTGTACACATATTAAATAATGCACACTTACATTAAATAATCTGTCAGTAATCTGTTGAGAATCTACAGTCTGTGGGTAGATATGATTGTTTCACAAGTCAATTCTAGGGGGTGAATGCAGGTTAACAGTCTATGGACTGGGGTGGTGGTGGTGGTGGAGGGGCTCTGGCTTGACCCCTTTGAAGGTACACCTCCCAGTGTGTGCCAACACCACCCTGCCATCTCCTCGCTGCCCTCCCTCCTCTGCCTGGCACACTCAGGACTTCCATTCTGCAGAACAGAGGGGCCAAGCGCCCCTCTGAATCCTTGCCTCCCACTTGCTCAGCCCCTGGGGATCTGTGCACCTTTTGCTCTCCCACTGGCTTTATATATAGGGGTTGAGGCCTGCTGCACCTCCTATACTTCCCAGGACCCCAGCTCAGTGTCTTTTTCCTGTGCTGGCTCCCACTTCCAATTTGACAGCTTCCTCTCCTGGAGCAAATCTCATCATGCTCCGATACAAACTCTGTTGTTTCTAGGCATGAGGACTTTCAGTGGCTCCCTACTGCCCTCCATTCATTCATAAGAAAAAAAAAATGTAGAGTCTCATATACTAAGTCCTGTATAGGACTTGGGTACCAAGGCAGGGAGAGAGTAGGTCACTGCCATCGGGAGGCTTATAATCTAATGAGAGGGAGATAAGAACCAAATAAATAATGCCACATATCCCCAAACCACTAGATTTGTGACCACTGCATGCAGGAAAGTCCAGTGTCTCCTAAGGGCACTGAGGACTTAGCCTGTGTTGTTCCGGCCATGTGCAGCCTGTCTCCCACCACTCCCCATGCCCACAGGCTGCTCCAGGCTGACGGGCTGCCTCCCTTTGACTCACTGCACCTCTTCTCTTTTGTCCTGGGCCAATAACTCACACCTCTGCCCTAGAATTTACACCCATGGGCCAAAGCCTAGCTGGCCTTCACTACTGGTTGGCGCTACCTCTGCAGGCTCAGGGCCTTTCCTATGTCCTGACCTCCACGGGCATTGCCCACACACCTCTCTTGTCACCCTGGGGTCACTATCTGGTACTGGCCTCTCCACTGATCTTTGAGGACTGCACCAGAGGCAAGAGCCAATGCTTGATGCTCACAGGTTAGGGAGGCTTAGCAGGCCTGTGGGCCATCTTAGGGGTTGGAGAGTCCCTGCAGGCACTGATGAAAAGATTTTCTGTTTACAAATCTGCTTCTCCTGACCAAGTTCCCTGCTTCCCTCCTGAAATGTCCTCCTGGGGCTTCTTACATCTTCTCTGCAATGTGATGGTTCAGCCATACACAGAGCTGGACCCAGCTGGATTTAGGCCCATGGCACCTGGAGGAAGACATCAACACCTGGAGACAGAAGCCCCGTGCCCAGCATGTGCCCTCTGCTTAGCATGATCCTTGTCTCAGCAGCCAGAGAGCTGTCCTGGCCATATCCCTGCCAGCCAAGACCAGGCCTGGGTTTCTTGCTTCCCCTAAGGGCCTTTTAACAGAGACTAAGGGAAAGAAAGGTGTCATCTGTTACACTGATTTTACTGTCAAATTGAACAGGGCTGTTACTTTTTTGGTTTGTTTTGGGAAATAGCTATAGTGAAACTTAATTGAAAAAATGAGCGTCTACAGTGTATATCCTGTTTGTACTCCCACAAATGTCATTTTTAGTGGCACAGGCTCTGGAGTTAGACTCTCTGAATGTGAGCTTCCACTGTACCAGTCGTCAGCTGTGTGACCCTGGACTGGCCCTTACTTCTTTGTACTTCAGTTTCCTCCTCTGTGAATCTGTGGACAGTAACAGTGCCTATGTCAGGCTTAATTGAGAGAAATCAAGTAAAATACACAGAACAGGACTTGGGACACAGCACTCAATAAGGATGGCTGCTATTATATCACTACCTATGTAAGTTATTTACAGGATTTTTAATGTGATAAATAATGATGCAATGAACATGTCTGTGTGCCAACTGATGAAGTTGTGCGTTCCCAAGGTAAGGAGCCAAGGGTCAAACTCTGGGTGACACCAACCCGGCACTAAATCTCTTACCCTTTTCCCTAACCTCCTTTCTTGCTGCTATTGTTCTGCCAAATCTTCAAGTCTTTTACAAGTTTATCCTTTCGCTTCTACATCTCCCACTGCCTGCAGCACTCACTCTCCCTAACCTACCTGGCAAATCCGTCCCACCTCTATTCTGGACCCTGCCACATGCCATTTATGTAGAAAGCTGCCTATTGCCTGGCACAGTAAACTCAAATGTATCTCTAAAACTCAGTTCAACTCATAAATAGGACGTGATAGGCTGGCCTCGGGAAGTTCTCTCTTCCCATCAGGTCCATGAGCTCTGAGGGCAAGCACTCGGTTACACATGTCTGCGGGTCCCCTTGGTGTTTAGAACACATCCAGACACTTGGTAAAGGTTCAATTAATTAATAACCAAGGAACAGAACTAAAAATACAGTCTGTACCCAGAGAGAAAGCGCTCCTCTGAATTCTGGCCAATGCACTTCCCAGGAAGAATTCTTTAACTCTAAGACCTGCCTCGGGTCATTTTATCCACCATGTTTCCCTAAAGAACCTGTGGGTCGCAATGGTGGTGGTGGTGGGGGAATGCTAATGTAAAACCAAACTCGAATTTTCCCGAGTACCAAATCTGGATCAAATTCAGAGGGCAGAGGTGGGAAAACTCGAAAAAAAATTCTCTACTCCTTCTTTAGAAACAAAGGTTTAAAATTAGAGGTAACATTATTTTGTTCAGCATATTTTCAAAGCATGATTCAGAAAAGAATTAGAATTGTTTGCACTTACCAAGGATAGAAACTTGTGCAAATGTATTTTCGGTACACAGCAATGCCCGCAGAAGCAATGCCGATCATTAGTTCTAAATTGTGCAGATCCTGTGAAAAGGAAGATCTCAGATGCACAGCGTGTTACAGTCATGCTTAGGCCCTCCAGTAACTTTAAAGCACCCACGCTTTTATAAATAGCAATACAGAAGCTCCAAAGGGGAAAATGTTACTGAAAAAAACAAGCAGAAATCTTTTTTTTTTTTTTTTTTTTTTGAGACAGAGCCTCAAGCTGTCCCCCTGGGCAGAGTGCCGTGGCATTACAGCTCACAGCAACCTCCA